ACGTTCTGGTAACTCCTGCGATGCAGCTGGAACTAATCGTATCGGCTTCGCCGTTCCATTAGACTATTTCAGTGACGTGGAGAGGGGAGATCTGCTGCCTGGGTAACAGCCTATCCTCCATATCAATCTACCCAGGCCTCGTGCTCTGGAGAGGACAATCCAGCTTTGCATATAGCATTGAAACAACACGGGAAGTGGCAGTTACCAGTTATAAGTCTTTGCTTGATTGGCATAGAGCATGACGCCAGGGGCCACTTTCGATGGTGGGAGAGGTCATAGTACCTCATTGGGCAGCTACCGCCCGCCCTAAGCTGGGCAGCCCCCAGCCAGTAAGGTGCCACCCTGCCACAGTCTGCTAACTTCACTGGGTGCGTGGGGTTTAGGGTTAAAGCCGACAAGCAGATCGATAACTCTGCACCATGCAATAAACATAAGAAAATTTTTGCCCTAAAGTTGGGCACTTGGAATGTTCGGACAATGACCCCCGGCCTTTCTGACGATTTGCAAGAAATAGATGGCGTACGTAAGACAGCTGTCATCGACATGGAGCTGAGCAGACTGCAAATGGTCATTGTTGCCCTTCAAGAGACAAGGCTGTCAGACTTGGGATCTGTTAAGGAAAGAAATTTCTCGTTCTTCTGGCAGGGAAAACCATCGAAAGAGACTAGGGAATATGGGGTTGGCTTTGCGGTCAGAAATACCCTACTAGGATTTATTACTCCACCTGCTGCTGGAAATGAAAGAATTCTGTCCTTTCAGCTACACTTACCAGCAGGATTGGTTACTCTTATTAGTGCATACGCATCGACATTATCTTCTTCAGTAGAATCCAAAGACAAATTCTACGACGATCTGGCTGCTATTATTAAGAAAATCCCTGAAAAAGAACCACTGTTTATCCTTGGCGACTTCAATGCCAGAGTTGGAGCTCATTATAGTTCTTGGCCCACTTACTTAGGTCAGTTCGGCGTCGGGAAGATAAATGAAAATGGCCAACGCCTGTTGGAGTTCTGCTGCTACCACAGCTTTTGTGTTAGCAATACATTCTTTAAAACAAAGCCTCAATATAGTGTCTCTTGGAGACACTCAAGATCGAAGCATTGGCACCAGCTCGACTTGATTCTTACCAGGCGCTCCAACCTTCCCAGTGTTACAATCGCATGCAGCTATCAGGGTGCTGATTACGACACAGACCACTCCTTGGTGTGCAGCAAAATAAAACTGAAAATAAAGAGATTGCATCACTCGAAGAAGGAAGGAAGACCACGTATCGATACTAGTAAGACCCGCAAACAGGGCAAAGTGGAGGATTTTGCACAAGCGCTAAAGGAGACTCTCCCAGGCCTGGCTGAAGCAAATGCATCTGAACGTTGGGTATATTTCAAGAACGCTGTTTATAACACCGCCTTGTCAATATTTGGTAAAGAGACCAGAAAGACAGCAGATTGGTTTGAAGCCCATTCGGAGGACCTGATGCCAGCCATCGAGGAAAAAAGGAGAGCCTTAATTGCATATAAAGCCTGTTCCAGCGAGCGCAACCTACGGGCTCTGCGAGCTGCGCGTAGCAAAGTCCAACAGACCGGCAGGAGATGTGCTAATGACTATTGGCTGCAGCTTTGCTCTCGGATCCAGATAGCAGCTGACACAGGCAACATCAAGGGGATGTATGATGGTATTAAGAAGGCCTTAGGTCCAATACAGAAGAAATCTGCCCCTCTGAAGTCTGCCACAGGCGAGGTTATCCGGGACCGAGCACAGCAGATGGCACGCTGGGTGCAGCACTACTCTGAGTTATATTCCAGAGAAAATGAGGTAACCGAAGAAGCATTAAATAATATTGAGTGCCTGCCTGTCTTGGAGGAGCTCGACAGTGAACCAACTCTAGAAGAATTAAACGCGGCCCTGGATTCCCTTGCCTCTGGCAAGGCACCCAGGAAAGATAACATCCCTGCCGAAATTCTGAAGTGCTGCAAAGAGAGCATCCCCATTGAATTGCATGAAATTTTCTGACTCTGTTGGAGGGAAGGTGGAGTACCACAGGACATGAAGGATGCAAATATCGTCACACTGTATAAGAACAAAGGCGACAGGGGTGATTGTAATAACTATCGCGGCATCTCTCTTCTTAGTGTTGTAGGGAAGCTGCTTGCCCGTGTCATACTGAAGAGGCTCCAGGTGCTTGCAGAGAGAGTCTATCCAGAATCACAGTGTGGATTCTGAGCCAACAGGTCCACCATTGACATGGTATTTTCCCTTAGACAGTTGCAGGAGAAATGCAGGGAACAAAGACAGCCACTTTTTGTAGCCTTCATAGATCTTACAAAGGCTTTTGACTTGGTTAGTAGGGATGGCTTATATAAAATTCTCTTCAAGATTAGATGTCCACCTCAGCTCCTCAACATCATCAGGTCCTTTCACGAGGATATGAAAGACACTGTTGTTTTTGATGGCCTAACATCAGATTCCTTTGACATTCGAAGTGGAGTGAAGCAGGGCTGCGTCCTTGCGCCAACTTTATTCGGGATCTTTTTTGCTGTCATGCTGAAACACGCTTTTGGAACTGCAACAGAGCGTATCTATCTCCGGACCAGATCAGATGGAAAACTCTTTAATCTCTCTAGATTGAGAGCAAAGTCTAAAGTCCAGCTGAAATGCCTACGGGATTTCCTCTTCGCTGACGATGCTGCCGTTACTGCTCACTCTGCTGAAGATCTTCAACAACTTATGGACCGTTTTAGTAAGGCCTGCCAAGACTTTGGTCTAACAATCAGCCTGAAAAAAACACAAGTCATGGGTCAGGATGTGGATCCACCTCCCTGTATTACAATCTCTGCACAGGAACTGGAGGTTGTCCATGACTTTGTGTACCTTGGCTCAACAATCTCTGACACTCTTCTCTTTAGATATTGAGCTGAATAAACGTATTGGTAAAGTGGCCACCACATTTTCCGGACTTACAAAGAGAGTATGGCTTAATAAGAAGTTGACAGAACATACAAAGATCCAGGTCTATAGAGCCTGTGTCTTGAGCACACTCTTGTACTGCAGTGAGTCATGGACTCTTCACGTACAGCAGGAGAGAAAGCTGAACACTTTTCACATGAGCTGTCTCCGACGTATTCTCGGTATCACCTGGCATGACAAATTTCCAAATAGCGCAGTCCTGGAATGTGCTGGAATCTCTAGCATGTATACATTATTGAAGCAGCGACGTCTACGCTGGCTTGGGCATGTCGTGAGAATGGCTGATGGTCGGATTCCGAAAGATCTCCTGTATGGAGAACTAGTGCAGGGAAAGTGCCCCAGAGGGAGACCTGAGCTGCGATATAAGGATATCTGCAAGAGGGACCTAAAGGCCTTGGGAATGGACATTAACAGCTGGGAATCCTTGACCTCTGATCGTTCAGCCTGGAGGCTAAAGATGCAGTATGGCCTTCTCCAATTCGAAGAGACACTTGTGCGGCAGGCTGAGGCAAAGAGGCAGTCCCGGAACCAGCGAAATCTGGGGGCTGGACAGGGGACAGATTGTATCTGCCCCCAGTGTGGAAGGGACTGCCATTCTCGAATTGGCCTTTTCAGCCACACCAGATGCTGCCTTAGGACCTCTTTCCAGAGCACGATACCATAGTCTCTCGAGACTGAAGGATGCCAATGAATGGAAAAGGATGTCTATCCTACAAAAGTAAGTGGAGACTATTCCTTTTTCAAATTCCTTGACAAAATCAGTAGGCTCTGCAAACCCAAGATGCAATGCAACTCCCTCATGCAGCCTCTCTTTTATCTTGATGAATGAAGAGGAACATGTGCAACTTATTTATTTTTAACAGAATCTTGTTTATGGCCTATTAACTTTTAGGCCACATTTTTTGGCATTATCCTTTACTGATTCTCTATATGGTTTGTATCTATAGATAGCTGCTAATATTGAACTATTTAAAATTTATTATATGTTACATAATTTTTTGTGTTTATTTTCTCTGATAAACTTGCAACTGAGTCAGAGTGGTGGGACTACTGTATGATTTGCCAATGCAGTAAGATTTAAGTTTCAAAATGATCTGGGAAAAACTGAGCCTTAAGACTAAATCCAGGAAATTATCACATGAAGTCACTGGAGATAACTGACATACTGTATGTCTTCCCAGAATTATCTGTGACCTCATCTGGTAATAGAAAGGAGCAGTAATAGTCAGACGCACAACTAAAGACTCCCAATTTTGATAGCAATTGACATTTCCTTCAGTAACACTGTAACCAGCATGTTATCTATCGAATGTGCCAATAATTGTCTTCCTCTTCCTATCTTTGGTAAACAAAGTGATAACTTCTCTTATGCAATCAAAGTGATGTGGTTGTTCAGATTATCAACAATGTGATAACCTCTGACAGAATTACGACAAGATAATGACTTAATATCAGATTCTTGGAGAAGAACCTTCTTCTGAAAGAAGTTCAGCAACGAAGCAAGAGATCTAAGTACTTAGAGATGAATAAAACTGTAAGGAATGCTCACATTTAACTATTTGCAATGGAAAGTCATTTCCATTGAAAAACTGTTAAAACAGGGAACCTTAACTGGATCACCAAGACAAAATCAGCTCCATCATGCATGGTCATTAGGTATCTTTCCTAATACCAATAACAATGATAATGTTACACCAGGTTTTCTACAAGATCATAGGAATATTTGAACATTTAATCATGGGCAAAACAAACTCACAAGGGAAGCTTACACTAAAAGACACATACAAGTCAAATCCTGCTGACATTAATTCTGTCTACAAACTGAATATGAAAGAAACAATTCCAGTGCCCTGGTATTTGGGCTGTTGGTGGCATTACATTAAGAGGACAAGGCAGATTTGAAAGAAATGCAACTCTGTTCTCCTGACTAATCAAGAAGCTGACCAGGAAGAGTAACATATTCTATTTTAGGACAATAGGCTGGACAATCAAAAATATAGTTAGAGAGGAATATCTCCCTCTTTACAACTACTCACCTTAACCCACTGCTCTGGCTTCACATCTTTCAAAACTAAAGTTAACTCAGGCTTGTCCATTAATACTTGCATTTTGGCATGGGTTGGGTCATCGCTTGTACAAATGCTAATGGGAATCATCCATAGAGGGTAATCTTCCCCTATATAAAAGACGACAAGGATACCTGACAGAACAAGGCATGATATGGTCCACTGCCCAGTCCCCAGAAACATATTTGACAATTTATACAGTAAGAAATAAAATCATAGCTGCTTTCACCCAGCACATTTGTAAAATGGAAATCCATTCTGCAAAGACAAATTTGCTCAAGGTCTATACTTTTCCTGAAACAATTTGTAATCTAACAATTTTATGCAAAGAATGATAACTCTGAAGTTGCTTTCTGGATCTAATGGAACTGTATATTAGGGTGACTCAGGCAGTCACCTATAAATCAAATTTGTTATTTAAATGAACATAGATATTTACATATTCACATGAACTATTACTCTTGTTCTCTACAACAAATGAGAAAGAATAAGTAGCAACAAAATAAAAAAAACAAGTGGATAATGTTCTAGAATAGCCATGAAATTCTAATAATTTAGGGGTTATCTGGTATTTCAGTTGTATTCACAACTGGAGCAAATAAGTGGTATATCCATATAAAAATATGCATCATTTTTCTTTTGATAAAGCAGGTGCTACAATAACTAACAAAACATTGCACATGTTCATCTTCCTTTTCAATAAATGTCCCTTTAAAAATCAATTGAATGAACTGCCTTCAAACTCAAACTCTAATCAAAAGCCATTATTTTTCATCAGAAGAGTAATTAAAACCCAGTTCCATTCTAGATTGGCAAATGACTGGTTTACTTTTTCATTTTGTGCTTTAATATGAAGCCTATGGTTCAACCTGTTTGTACAAGTCATCTAAGTAATTTGTTTTCAATGCCTTTTCCTCAACTGCAGGTACAGTATTCCATGACTGCATCCTGGATTACATGAGTTGATGTCACTGTTTTGCAATACGGGTAATCCTCGAGTCACGACAGTTCACTTAGCGACCATTCGAAGTTATGACATAACCCCCAAATACTTACGACACAGTCCCAAAGTTACGAATGTTGCAGCACCATGGCAGTCGTTCACCCTTACAAACGACCGCAGAGGCACTAACCCTAACCCTAACCCAGGTTCCCTGGCCCTTTCAAACTCTATGACTAAGCACTCATTTTTCTATCCACTACATGCCTGACAAGAACCATAAATCTGAAGGTTGGGTATCTTCAATAATAAACAGAATGATTGGAATGATATATCTACTTAATACTAGATGTTCATCTACTGTATATCTACTATTCAGTGAAGAAGTATTCATGTCTTCCAGGTTTTCTGACTTTTTGCATAACTTGCCAATGAATGTAACTGGAGTTTCATATGAATCCTACTGATACATTAAGGGAACGTGAGTGAACAAACGACACCCAAGTTTTGTGTTCATTCTACCACAGTGAACTGCTTCAAATTAATAACATTTAAGGGTATTTCAAGTAGGAATTGCTTATTCTGGTCCTGCCACAATATTTCTGTGGGATTTAGTGTTTAAAAACAATGAACTGTTTTTTTTAATTCATACTTGCTTGTATGTTTTGAGATTGTTCCCTTGCTACATGAACCACATGCATTCCTGCTTATGGACAGATAGTCTAATTCCTGCAGAATTCAGATAGAAAGCATGATTTTAACAAAATGGGTACCTTGGTTAAGATTTTAAAACTATCCCCAGAACTTTAGAAACCATTTTGTAACCTATTTTAGGGACACAGGCATCAATAATAAATTGTGTAATAATATAGGGAGATGTTTTTCTGCTATTTGGGGAGCATATAGATCATAGTCTTTCAAAAATTTAATTAAAATCAAAATGTTATTAAATCAATGTGGATCTCTCTAGAAATACTATGAACTTTAGCTCTTCAAATCACTTTCAATTTCTCATCACATGGATTCTAGATCATGCCCTGCCCAAAAGAAATTTCTGTAGATTTCTGTCAAAAAAAGTTATTGATGCCTATACCAACTTTATAACGAATCAAGGAAACTGCAACCATACAATTTATAATACAATTTATCCTAGACACTGGGAGACTGTGAGTTCTAATACTGCCTTAAAGCACAAAGCCAGTTGTGTGACCTTTGTCCAGTCACTCTCTCTCAACCCTAAGAAGCAGGCAATAGCAAACCACTTCTGAAATCTTGATAATAAAACTGCAGGGACTAGCCTGGGCAGTAACCAGGAGTCAACACATTCAGTCCAATGATTATTTAGAATTTTTCCTTAAAAATAAATAAGTGCCCTGAAATCACTTAAGCAATTGTTAAATTCTAGGCCTAAGCTTTGCTGTGTTCTGACTCAACAAAACAAGCAATTTACTTAATTTTTTCTTCCATTCTCAGATAGTATTTAATTTTTATTTATTTTATCTGTTTATTAAATTTATATGCCACCTATCTCGCAGTTCGAGGTTTAACTTTTACAATTTGGTCTTGGGCTATATAATAAAACGTTCATTCCTTGATACTTCTAGAGGGCAGGAATGATCTACTCAATAGCTGTGTTTAATTAATTAGTCACAAAACTGTCCCTTCATTTGATTGTATTGACTAAGAGCCAGTTTAGTCTAGTGGTTAAGGGACCAGGACAGAAACCAGGAAACTGTGAGCTCTAGTCCCACCTTAGGCATGAAAGCTGGCTGGGTGACTTTGGGTCAGTCACTCTCTCTCAACCCACACATCAGGTTCGGGTGACAATCCATTCGGTCAATTCCTGTTGTAATCAATGGATCAACACTTGGTTGATCTGAAAAAAGAGGACTGCACTTGAAGGAAAATGCTAGATTTTTTTAATGTTTGACAGAACAAGGGGAAGCCATTACTTTTTCACACTGGGATATTGTATTTTGGAAGGTTTTACTTATAAATAAATAAAAAGAACCCCAAAGCTCACTGTTACTCTCTTTAAATATCAGTAGGTTCCACACGAAGCTATAACAACTTTAACTGGTAAAGATATACAAAAATACAGAAATCCCAAAAGGGACAAATGCTTTTTCACAGAACTGTATTTCTACTGCCTTTCACACAGATATCACAAAGAAATATTAATACTATGTAAAGTCATTTTAAAGAGCGTGCAGGTTTTCTAATTAAAATGTGCAGAATGTAAACACAAACAAAAAACCACAATGAAAAATTAAAATTTCAGACTTAATGGTTTGTAAATTACAGTGAGGGAAAAAATTATTTGATCCCCTACTGATTTTGTATGTTTGCCCACTGACAAAGAAATGATCAGTCTATAATTTTAATTGTAGGTTTATTTTAAGTGAGAGAATAACAACAAAAAAATCCAGAAAAACGCATTTCAAAAAAGTTATAAATTGATTTGCATTTTAATGAGTGAAATAAGTATTTGACCCCTTCACAAAACATGACTTAGTACTTGGTGGCAAAACCCTTGTGGGCAATCAGAGAGGTCAGACGTTTCTTGTAGTTGGCCACCAGGTTTGCACACATCTCAGGAGGGATTTTGTCTCACTCCTCTTTGCAGATCCTCTCCAAGTCATGACAGTTTCGAGGCCGACGTTTGGCAGCTCGAACCTTCAGCTCCCTCCACAGATTTTCTATGGGATTAAGGTCTGGAGATTGGCTAGGCCACTCCAGGACCTTAATGTGCTTCTTCTTGAGCCACTCCTTTGTTGCCTTGGACGTGTGTTTTGGGTCATTGTCATGCTGGAATACCCATCCACAACCATTTTCAATGCCCTGGCTGAGGGAAAGAGGTTCTCACCCATGATTTGACGGTATATGGCCCTGTCCATCGTCCCTTTGATGCAGTGAACTTGTCCTGTCTTCTTAGCAGAAAAACACCCCCAAAGCATAATGTGTCCACCTCCACGTTTGACGGTGGGGATGGTGTTCTTGGGGTCATAGGCAGCATTTCTCCTCCTCCAAACACGGAGAGTTGAGTTGATGCCAAAGAACTTGATCTTGGTCTCATCTGACCACAACACTTTCACCCCGTTCTCCTCTGAATCATTCAGATGTTCATTGGCAAACTTTAGATGGGCCTGTACATGTGCTTTCTTGAGCAGGGGAACCTTGCAGGTGCTGCAGGATTTCAGTCCTTCATGGCGTAGTGTGTTACCAATTGTTTTCTTGGTGACTATGGTCCCAGCTGCCTTGAGATCATTGACAAGATCCCCCTGTGTAGTTCTGGGCTGATTCCTCACAATTCTCATGATCATTGAAGCTCCACAAGGTGAGATCTTGCATGGAGCCCCAGACTGAGGGAGATTGACAGTTATTTTGTTTTTCTCCCATTTGCCAATAATCGCACCAACTGTTGTCACCTTCTCACCAAGCTGCTTGGTGATGGTCTTGTAGCCCATTCCAGCCTTGTGTAGGTCTACAATCTTGTCCCTGACATCCTTGGACAGCTCTTTGGTCTTGGCCATGGTGGAGAGTGTCAACGCTGCTAACATTGGATGTTCTTGCTTTGACAAAATATGCAGAGCTGTGTGGTATTTTTAGAGTTAACTTAGATGATGCTGGGAGGGGAGGAGAAAGAATGTGTGTGGGGAGTACTTAAGATAAAAAAAAACCTGCTACAGAAATGAAGGGAACCTTTGCCCTTCAAACTGATTGGAGAATGTGATTTATGACAGCAAATAAGGGAGGGAACTATGCTAGCAAAATATGTGCTCAGGGGAGGGGAATTCAGATCTTGGCATCCCTCCATGCTGTGCCGACACTTTGTTGCACGAATAAAGACTTTTTAGGATAAACAATGCCTGGAAGTTCTTTGAAGTGTTTCATTAGTCGGAACCATGACAAGAGAGTTTGGAACCTGGTTGATCGATTGCTTCTGTGGACAGGTGTCTTTTATACAGGTAACAAGCTGAGATTAGGAGCACTCCCTTTAAGAGAGTGCTCCTAATCTCAGCCCATTACCTTTATAAAAGACACCTGGGAGCCAGAAATCTTGGTGATTGATAGGGGATCAAATACTTATTTCCCTCATTAAAATGCAAATCAATTTATAACTTTTTTGAAATGCGTTTTTCTGGATTTTTTTGTTGTCATTCTGTCTCTCACTGTTAAAATAAACCTACCATTAAAATTATAGACTGATCATTTCTTTGTCAGTGGGCAAATGTACAAAATCAGCAGGAGATCAAATTTTTTCCTTCACTGTATTTCAAACATCTTAATCCTAAAAAGGACACCTGCCTGCACAAACTGACAATGCAAGAGCTGTTTCGTGGAATAGTTGGTATCACGTACAATATAGTACACTGCTTGCTCCTGCTATTAGCCATTGTCTTACCACTATGTGGTCCACTGGCACAGAATTTCTTCTGGACTAGCTTCAGCACTTTGTTATCTTCTTGCTGGAGTAAAGAACAAAAGGCCAAAATAGCAGTGAGAGGCTTGAGAATACTTCTAATTAAGATGGTATGTCCAAAGGACTTAATTCCTTGTCCTCACAGTGCATAGTAGGTTTGTCAGGTCTGTTTTAACAATTTGCCAAACCACATCTTTTTGCCCACTCCCCATTTCACCAACTGCACCATTCTTACACGCCTATATCTGCTACTACCAACAGATTGGCCCCAGTTACAAATTAAATTTTCTTATGATACTGTATTATATCACAGTATTGTGATTGAACCCCGAACGCCCTGCCAAGGTGAGTGTAGCCTGCCGCCAAACCCAAGACAGTGGCGCGCAAAGGGGTTGAAGTTGTAGAGTTCACTCTACCATCGAGTGAAGGTGAGGGAATTCCAACGAAAGACCTGAAGCTGTCTGTGGAGAGCGACAGCAGCAGGGATGATGAGCCACTGGTAAGTGAAGCTTTGAAACCCATGACGGTGAAGGTGGAATTGGTGGTGGCATCCTCGAGTCGAAAAGGCATATTAACTGCCCTACTAGACTCTAGGTGCACTTGCTGCCTAGTTAGCCCTAATGTGGTGAAGAGGCTCAGAATATGCCTCCGTGAGCTCAAAGTACCGATAGCTTTCACTCAGATGGCTTGCTAGTGGGGGCTGGTCACACCTGTTTTATAACTGAACCATTAGAAATGAGAATAGAAAACCATGTAGAAACTATCAGTTTCATTGCAGCACCCAGCATGGACCGACCCATGATTCTGGGACTTGCCTGCCTGGAGAGGTGGAACCCCGCCATTAATTGGCCAGAGAAAACTTTAAAGATACCTCGGAAACACCCGATTAAGAAAGCCACGGTGAAAGTGGAGCCATGTAAGCTCACGCCTCTCATTAAGAAAGGGAAAGTGGCTGGCACTTTGCCAAACTGCAGAGAAAGCAAAATGGACTCGCTCATACTGAAGGAATACTGGGTTCTAAGAGAAGTCTTCAGTGAGATGGAGTCAGATGTGCTTCCCCCTCACCACCCCACAGACTGTGCTATTGAAATCCTGCCAATGGCCAAACTACCTAAACCTAAACTTTATTCCATGATGCCAAGGGAGCTGGAAGAACTCAGGGCTTTCATAGACAAGAATCTGGCCAGGGGGTTTATCTAGCCAGCAAAATCGCAAATGGCAGTACCTGTTCTATTCAAAGAAAAGACAGTTCCCTGAGACTCTGTGTGGATTACCAAGGGCTCAGTGTTATTTGCATAGAGAATGTATACCCCCTGCCGCTGATGAAGGACATGTTAAGCCACTTGGCCAAAGGGAAGTACTTTACCAAGCTGGACCTAAGGGAAGCATATTACCGGGTGCAAATTAAAGAGGGCAATGAGTGGAAGACTGCTTTTAACTGCCCTCTGGGGTGCTTTCAATTTCAGGTCCTCCTGTTCAGGTTGCAGGGGGTGCCGGTCTTATTTATGCTGTTGATTAATGAAGTGCTACACGAACACTTGTTTAAGGGAGTCCTGGTTTACCTAGACGACATTCTAATTTACACAGAGACCATGGACGAACATGTGAAACTGGTGAGAGCGGTCCTGAAAAAACAGTATTGTCAAGGAAAATGTAGTACTTTGTAATGTCTTATTTTCAAATTATGGAAATCTGCTATAACAAAGTCAATTAAATTGTTGTATTATTTGTTTTAAAAGGGAAATATTTAAAAGTTATACCAAAATGTTTGTATGTATTTATATGCGTGTATGTGTGCTTGTTTGTTTGTTAGTTTGTTTTTACTTAGACACCATCCAACTCCAATTGACTCTGGTGGCTCACAGCATAAAAACAAGACAACAAATATACAGTCAAAACTAGAAAATAAAACAGTAAACAAGATGGTAAACCCAGCAACAACTAACATATCACATGACCAGCAAGGGTCTCTAACCACACTAGCCCAAAACCTGGGAGAACAGCCAAGTCTTTAAGGTCTTCCAGAATGCCACTGAAACCTCAAGGGCACATTGCTGGCTGTGGAAGTCTGGGAGTTGAAGTCCACATGCCTTAAAATTGTCAAGGTTGAGAAACACTGCTCAAGGGGAACCTGATCCCAGAGGGCAGGCACCATGACAGAGAAGGAACACTTCTAGGGTCCTGATAGATAGCACTGCTTAACTGGAGGATCCCTCAAGCAACCAAGCCCTATGCCAGGGGTCTTCAAACTTGGCCCTTTTATGACTTCACAAGTCATAAAAGGGCCATGTTTGAAGGCCCCTGCCCTATGCTATAGGTCATAACCAGTACCATAATGCTTAAGAGCATGAACCATACCTAGAAACCCCCTAACATAAATTCAGACAAGCTTCAAGTCTCTAGAAAGCATCAGAGGAAATTATTTTTTGTCTTCAGACATTGGGATTATATATTGGCTGACTTAACAAAGTCAATGTGAAGTAAATGTGTAAGATTTAAGTACAGGTAGTCCTTGACTTACAACCACAATTGAGCCCAACATTTATGTTGCTAAGCGAGACATTTGTTAAGTGAGTTTTGCCCCATGTTATGACCTTTCTTGCTACAGTTGTTAAGTGAATCATTGCAGTTGTTAAGTTAGTAACATTGCAACTGTCATAACTGTGCGTCAGTTGCCAACTGTCTGAAGTTTGATCACGTGACCATGGGGATGCTGCAACCGTCACAAGTATGAAAACGGGTCATAAGTCACTTTTTTCAGTGATGTTGTAACTTTGAATGGTCACTAAATGAACTACTGTAAGTTGAGGACTACCTGTATACAAGAAACCAGCTACAAGGTTAAGAATGAGCTTAGGGACTCTACTTCTAACTCTGTGTTAAGATGGTATTAATTTCACTTTTATGTTTTTTCTTACTTCCATTACTGCTTTCTGAGTCTAAGGACTTAAAGGCAGGAAAGAAATTTTTCTGTAATATTTATAATGATAGATTAAAATTATAAATATTTATAATATAAATTGTTTCTATAATAAAATACTGGAAATGATATTACAATATTTCAAGATAAATGCAACTTTCTAATTAATAAGTGATCCTAGTGGGGCCAAACGTTTTTAAGATCCATGAATCCATGTAAGTAAGTGCAGCAGACTAAAGCACTGAGATTGGTACACATTGATCTTTGAGAATTTCAGTTTGCATTTGCAATATACCTAGACTTTAGGCTATGAAGTTAGCATTGGAAATGTATGGGAGCAATGTTTCGTAAAAGAAGGGAAAACTGAATTTGGCCTTCAGTGATCACTAGTTGCATATCAGTTCCCCTTTATTATGGACTAGATCTATGCAAAAATACAAATATAATACTCAGTTTGTATAAGTCATATTTGTCTTTTTAAATGCAGGATATATGTAGTCATATAAAATTCCTATCATCTATCTCTACAGAAATTACTCAGGACAGTGTATTCATTACAGTTTAATATCTGAACATATGCTTTATATATTTAGCCTACTCACACTGTATGACCAGGGAAGTCATGCTGATTAGAAATATATTTTTTCTACTTTGGTCTGTGTCACATCTACAGTAGTGGCCAAAATTGTGGAAACCTTTTGGGAAAAGTGTATTTTTGAGGTTTGGTGGCTAATAACACAACTTTTTTTTTTTGGAGTAGTACCATAAAATTATATATCAATGGAAAGATAATTTAATCAAGAATGTAATGCAGCAAAGTTTGTTCAATTATCTGTACTGTATTCTATGAAAAGTTATAGCCAAATAACCAGAAAAAGGAAGCAGAACTTGCTTAGGTTGATATCAGGTAGCTTTCCTTCATCTGATTGTAGCCAATGAGCATGAGTGTTTAGAGAGCCAATCAGGTGTCATCTTGTTTTGGCAATGAGCCAATCAGATCACAGTAGGATTCAGTTATTGATGTCATGTATTGAAGCTGAGAGGAGGACATTTGTCAGTGTGTTATGTGATCGCTATCAAGTTGGTTGGGGTTTTTTTGTGTACTTTAATTTAGTGAGCTTGTAAAACATAATAAAATTAAAGTAATGGTGCAAAGAGTTGACTGGTTGCCCAGAAAACGATGTAAAATAGTATTATTAAGTGAACAAGGCTACAGTTATAAAGAAATTAGAAGAAAAATTGGTGGAAATTTAACCAAAGGTGGCATTTCTACTGTACACTTTTCCCAAAAGGTTTCCACAATTTTGGCCACTACTGTAAACTATCACAAAGTTGGTGATGTCTCTAGTCATGTGCTAAATACATGTTGCTGAAAATCTGATCCATTTATTAAAACTTACAAATATAAATTCTAAACATACTGTTTTAAGGAAAGTAAGTCATAAAAAAATCTTCCTCAATCATAATTCAAAAAAGGTTATCTATTATTTCTGTATAAATGAACCCTGCTTTGCAATAAGCAGAAAAATACAGTTAGGAACTACTGTTTCAAGTATCAGCAAAATATGGTTTACTGATGACTGACCTGAAAGCCATAGGTAACTACTATTGGTCCCAAGTGCTTTTTTTTTTACTATGGAAACTGGGATACTGAGTAAACAGAAAATGAAAGCAAAGATATGAGCTCTATACCATAATATGCCTGTAATCTTGGAAGATTCAATCATTGGTTTGTATTCTACCTGAACCACCAAGTTTAAAGTCAGAAATCATATGCCTACCTGCTCCCCTTCCACATACACCAGTGGAAAACCCATTTGCTTGGTCCATGTATTCATCACAATAGCAACAGGTTTACTGCTAGCATGTTCCAGGCTTTCCCAAAGATCTTCTGCAAAAGAGAAAAACCCTCAATCTAAATAACCTGCATTCTAATGCTAAAGAAAATACTTCATACCTGTTTATTTATTTACTGAATTTATACAGCCACTCACCTCAACGATGTGACTCTAGGCAGCTCACAATACAACAATCATAATCACAAATAAGAGGAATCAAGGGAGCCACAGTTACAGGTAGTGAGGGAAAAATTATTTGATCCCATGCTGATTTTGTACGTTTGCCCACTGACAAAGAAATGATCAGTCTATAATTTTAATGGTAGGTTTATTTTAACAGTGAGAGAAAGAATAACAACAAACAAATTCAGAAAAACGCATTAAAAATTGATTTGCATTTTAATGAGTGAAATAAGTATTTGACCCCTTCACAAAACATGACTTAGTACTTGGTGGCAAAACCCTTGTGGGCAATCAGAGAGGTCAGACGTTTCTTGTAGTTGGCCACCAGGTTTCCATACATCTCAGGAGGGATTTTGTCCCACTCCTCTTTGCAGATCCTCTCCAAGTCATTAAGGTTTTGAGGCTGACGTTTGGCAGCTCGAACCTTCAGCTCCCTCCACAGATTTTCTATGGGATTAAGGTCTGGAGACTGGCTAGGCCACTCCAGGACCTTAATGTGCTTCTTCTTGAGCCACTCCTTTGTTGCCTTGGCCGTGTGTTTTGGGTCATTGTCATGCTGGAATATCCATCCATGACCCATTTTCAATGCCCTGGCTGAGGAAAAGAGGTTCTCACCCAAGATTTGACGGTACATGGCCCCATCCATCATCCCTTTGATGTGATGAAGTTGTCCTGTCCCCTTAGCAGAAAAACACCCCCAAAGCATAATGTGTCCACCTCCATGTTTGATGGTGGGGATGGTGTTCTTGGGGTCATAGGCAGCATTTCTCCTCCTCCAAACACGGGGAGTTGAGTTGATGCTAAACAGCTCGATTTTGGTCTCATCTGACCACAACACTTTCACCCCGTTCTCCTCTGAATAATTCAGATGTTCATTGGCAAACTTTAGACGGGCCTGTACATGTGCTTTCTTGAGCAGGGGGACCTTGCAGGCGCTGCAGGATTTCAGTCCTTCATGGCGTAGTGTGTTACCAATTGTTTTCTTGGTGACTATGGTCCCAGCTGCCTTGAGATCATAGACAAGATCCTCCCGTGTAGTTCTGGGCTGGTTCCTCACTGTTCTCATGATCATTGAAGCTCCACAAGGTGAGATCTTGCATGGAGCCCCAGACCGAAGGAGATTGACAGTTATTTTGTGTTTCTTCCATTTGCGAATAATCGCACCAACTGTTGTCACTTTCTCACCAAGCTGTTTGGCAATGGTCTTGTAGCCCATTCCAGCCTTGTGACTACAAGGTCTAGAATCTTGTCCCTGACATTCTTGGACAACTCTTTGGTCTTGGCCATGGTGGAGAGTTTGGAATCTGGTTGATTGATTGCTTCTGTGGACAGGTGTCTTTTATACAGGTAACAGGCTGAGATTAGGAGCACTCCCTTTAAGAGACTGCTCCTAATCTCAGCTCGTTACCTGTATAAAAGACACTTGGGAGCCAGAATTCTTGGTGATTGATAGGGCATCAAATACTTTTTTCACTCATTAAAATGCAAATCAATTTATAACTTTTTTGAAATGCGTTTTTCTGGATTTTGTTGTTGTTATTCTGTCTCTCACTGTTAAAATAAACCTACCATTAAAATTATAGACTGATCATATAATTTTTCCCCTCACTGTAGGTCTCATTTAGTGAATGATTCAGGCACCAACCATTCAAAGCTATGATGGTGATTAATAGAGCAAGGAGTTCTATGACATGTCATATTTTTTCTGGAACCTTCATATTGAATTTATAAGTAAGCTAAAACATGTTTTAGAGTAATCTGGTGAGAATTAGATGTTTTTTATTTTGCCTGAAAAGTCATATTTTGACTTTTTAAAGTGCTGTCATATTTCTGGTTAATTTTGTAACAAACATCATATTTTGGTCATTGGCAACTAAGCCAGCAAGTTTGAGCCAGCAAAGAAAGTGAGAATTTGCCTTTTCTTTTTCTTATTCGCTCCACAACTCGGGAGGGAGGGAGGGAGAGAGAGAGGGAGAGAGGGAGAGGGAGAGGGAGAGAGAGAGAGAGAGAGAGAGAGAGAGAGAGAGAGAGAGGGAGGGAGGGAGGGGTGGGAACAAAATCTTCTCCCAACCAGGCCTGAAAAAAGGTGAGAATTTGCCTGTCTTGTTTTCTTTTTCTTATTTACTCCCCAAGTCAGGGATTTGTGTGTTCAAGGTGATGGAATCACATGAGAGCTGCAATCTGATTTCAACATGGCTAAATGTAGATGTTCAGCAAGTGTGAAATTACAGTATCTTGTTCAACAATTTGGGGAGCAGATTTTCAGTAGCGATGGTGATGTTTTGTTTTGTAAATTGTGTGAAGTTAAGATATCGGCCCCCAAACTGTTTTAATATTCAGCCACATTGTTGACACCACAAAACACGAAAGTTGTTTGGAAGGATTTACCTTCACTGAGAACAGGCAACATCTCCTTTTCAAGAGAGCTTCTTCTTCAACTGCAGGTTCATCAAATACCCAGTCAGAATTTTGTAAGGATCTCTGTACAATGATGGTTACTTCAAATATTCCCTTAAGGAAATTAGGTAGTGGTAGCCTCAGGCATTTTTTAGAGAAGTACGCCATTCACCCGATTCCAAATGAATCAGCTCTAAGGAAAAGTTACATCTCTGCCTGCTATGAAGATGTGTTAGGGAAAGATAAGACCTGCTGCTGACAACAATAAGATAGGAGTTTCAATAGATGAAACAAGTGATGTAAACAAAAGATATGTAGCCAATGTTATTGTTGGTACTCTGAAATGTGACAAGCTGGGTGAAGTATTTCTTCTAACATGTGAAACTCTACAAAAAGTAAACAATTCTACTATTGCTATGCTCTTTGATGATTCTACGAAACTACTCTGGCCGGATGGTATATAAAAAGGGGAAATATCCTTCTCTTTGTAACAGATGCCACTCCATACATGACTAAAGCAGCCAAGGGACTTAAATTTCTTTATCCAAAAATGATCCATATCACATGCCTTTCACATGGTTTACATAGAGTGGCTGAAGAGATTTGAAGCAACTATCCTGATGTAGATAAGATTATTTTGAATTGGGAAAAAATGTTCATTAAAGTTCCACTTCAAGTATTTTTATTTTTTATTTTATTTTTAAGACTTATATGCCGCCCTTCTCCCCACGGGACTCAGGGCGGCTCACAGCATATTAAAACAACATAGTACATTTCCCCAATAAAAGCCAATTAAAAACCAAATATTTGTAGCTGTGTCTCTTATTAAAATCATTAAAAATTATCCCTATTTAAAATTCACCCTAGGTCAGTCCCGCTTGCTGAA